TACTTGCTTTGCAACAGTCCGCCTCTCTGCATAGCTTAGAGCCTTAGGCATGTGAATTTAAATACCCATTTGCAATTTTCTGGTTCCACAGCACTTCCAGTGTTTCTGCAAAAGGTCCAAAGGTGCACCTTTTTTTTTTTTTTCCTTTGCCAAATATCAATACCTGCCAGAAGCAGATTTTTAAGATACATTTCATATTTAGGGCCAGACTATTCTGTAACAGCCCCAAAAATGTCATCTGCTCCATTCAGCATGGGTTGCTATCAAAGACCAAACACACTTTATCTGATTCGGGATATTTCTTTCTTTCTTCTTGGGGCAGCTGAATAAAAGAAGTTGGAGCCTTTATACTAGATCTTCAGAAGCCACAATACTCCAAAATATCTTTGTATTCTTTTCTTTCCAAACAAAAAGAAAATATCTTTTTAAAGATAGACAAGGAAGATTTTTAAAATCTCTTTTTTTCCAAAATGTCTCATCCCTCTCCACTTGAAGCTGAAAAGAAGTTTGGTTAAGAAATAAAAGGTAGTTACAATTGCCATGACTCAAGAATAAAGATGTCAGATTTGTCCGAAAAGATCTTTGTCAAGAAGTATTTAGTTTCTACATAGCCACAGTGCCATATCAAAGAAAGTAATTCTTTTGACATTATTTACAACTGTACCAATGCACGTAAAATCCTATAAATGCCTGAGACTGAAACTATAAAAAATGGAGAGCTCTTTTCCTCCAGGTTTTGGAATATTTAATTCTCTCGAAGATTATGTCATAAAATTAACTCTCTTGCTAAAGTACAGATGAGTAAATGACCTGAAAATCCAGCTGTTTGAGTGAAGAGTGGATGAAATGATGGCTACAGAGTTCCATAGCTATTAATGTAACAAAGACTGTTGAGCAAAACTAGGCTTAGCTAGAATAGAAATTAGGCAAAATTCAAATTTACAATAAACAGGCACTGACCAGAAGACCAGCAAAGGAAATCACGTATACTGCAAATGATTTAAACTGTGAAACCTCCCCCAGCCCGTTCCCTAGCCTGCCTTAACATTGCATGGTTCATACAGAAAAAAAGATGGTTAATACAGTTCCCTAAACATGGCATTCAAACAGGCTAAGATGCAACCAACAGACATACTAATTCTAAGGGCTGTGTCCTGTTCTTAAGCTAAATCCCTGGCCACTTTAATATCCTTTTTATAGGCTTTAATTATGGCATTTTTCTCCTCAGTTGTGCTTCAGCAACAATCTGATTCTGCATTTCTGGACTTGTCCAATGGAAAATAAATGCGTCCTTTGCCCAGGGAGGATGTTACCCAACCACTCTAAATTTGTTTCTTGGGTGGAGAAACATCCCAGGACAAGCTCAAATTATGTTCCAAACAGCACAATAAGACAAAATATTTTAGCCTGAATACAGAAGAGAGCCAGCAGAGAAATAACAGCTACTTCTGTTCATATTCCAGTGCTCTGACAGAAATCCTATCCTCCAAAGAGTTAAGCAACTTCCAGAGGTGATCAGTGAGGGAGATCTTCGTATCTAATGTCTTGACAAAGGGAGATAGGAAGAGATGGGAAATAAGAAGATAAAGTGGAGAGCAGGTTTGGAGGAGGAAATGGCTATATATTCACACAAATAAACACGAGTTTTATTTCCATTTTTATTTCCATGTGCTGCAAATTGTGTTGTGGAAAAACTGTGCCAATTAAAACTACAACTAAATGCTGAATGCATGGTCATTACAACATGATGCGACTATTTCCAGGTGTACATATAAAGGGACTGCCGAACAGTCTATTGAAAGCGTGTACACTTACCTGGTCAGCAAATAGGTCAGTGATCACCACTTACTCTGCTTTTTAATACAGGGATTTGAGAGTATTCCCTATTCTTATAAGAAACACAAATTTTCATTATTCTTTTGTGAACTAGAATAAGTGCATTATAGTAGCTGGAAAAAAATTGAAAAGGCATCTTAGTTTGTCTTTTTTCTTCAGTTGCTCCCTAGTAATATATAATTTTAAGTTATGGTAGGAAAAAGGGAATAAATTGGCACATGTTATATTTCATTACTGATTTTGGAAAAAGCAACAGCAGGTTTTTACGAATCACACACAGTGCCTTATATTGTTAAATTCTTCAGGGTAATCTGGCTTGTTTCTTACTGCTGGCAATGGGAAACAGTAGCGAGATTGCCAAGGCTTTGATTCTTTGTTCCTCTGGGCTCCCAGCACCCCAGAACCTCGAAAGCGCCAAGATCCATGACTCCTTGGTAATACACACTACAGCGTGACCCAGGAGCTGTGAAGCCAAATGAGCTATACAGAAAGGACTCTGCAAGCCCTAAAATCCCTCAAAACACATACGTGAGCTGGTAGTAAAACTTGCACAGCTAGATCAGAAGCTTACCTACGGTTTGTCAGAAGTTTGCGAAAACTGAAACACATCTCAAAACCAGCAAGAAACAGTCATTTTTCCACGGAAAAAATGGATCACTGAAAAAATTCCTAGCATGCTTCAAAGCCACAATCAGTAACTAAGCAGAAATCTAGCTTTAGGTTGGAAAAGGGACTTGGATCTTTGTTGGTCATTCAGTGGCTTCCACAGCTCCAGCGCTGGGGACAGCACAGGTCACAGGTGACCCCCATTAATCCAAAGGCTCCCGGTGAAAGAGGAGAGAGGCAGCCATGTGCTACCCTTCGCTCCAGGATGAGCTTGGTAACACAAAAAAAGTAGAACAGGAAGACCAGGTAGTTTGCAGTTTAGTAGTTGCTACGTTTGGCTATGCATACAGATCTAGTACAGGTCAAAACCGCTTAAGATCCATGTATTTCTATTTAATGGGACTAGCAGTCCCACGATAGCGTTTTTCCCCTACGTGTTCTTAGACAAAAATATGCCATTTCATTGTATGTCAAATGTACTGTGGATGCTGCTGGAAAACTATTTAACTGAATTAGTTTATGAGGTAGCACTTGGGTTACATAAAATAATGTTACATATTAAATCTGTTTTATGCCAGGTAACCTCTTTCCATTAAGACCAGTCTCTCTTTGGGGAATATATCTTATTTTATCAGCCTGAACTTCAGCTGATTTTCTGTTTTTACCTCTCTGTCCAGATCCACCTTGCTTTGTGGCGAACTTTCAAAACTGATGTGGTAGAGTACGCACCCACCAGAACTGGAAGCATCTAGCAAGACAAGCTTTGAGGGTGCTCTACATGTTCTTATACCCGTAAGAATGAAACAAAGCAAGGGGAAAGCCTTAATTTCCTTCCCTTCTCAAAGCCCTGAAAAAGGGCCTATTTATTTTCCCTGACCCAAAGACAGTATGTTTGGAAGAGGCTAAACAGAATATCTATGCAGTTAGCTAAGTGCTGTTATCCTGCATGTAGACTCAACACATCATTTTCTCTTATCATGGAACTGACCAAAAGCTCACTTAAATCAATGAGAGTCCTTCTGTGAACTTCAACAAGCTTTGGATTAGATGAATCTTGTACAGGAGCAATACCGGAGCCCCCAGGTAGGAACACGTTCCAAAATGTTTGGAAAGAACTTTTTACTTACTTAGTACTTGAACCTTTTAAATCAGGGACAGAAAAAGGAAAAGTGCCAAGAACAACCCTTTTCTGACATTACCTTAATTTCCTTAATGTTGCATATTTTAATAGTAGGTAGAACAGATGGTGAAATATAATCTCTCCTCTGAGAACTAAATGACAGTGACTAGCTGTAGGGGACACTAAAGTATTAAGGAGAAGGAAATGCACAAATAACGAAAGTACATTTTGTCCAACTTGCTTTTGATGAGGCATAAAATAAAATGTAAATAATTTCTATTAGGAGGAAATTAACATAATGACTTTGGTATTTGCAATCAGAGTGAGCTTGTATTATATAACCTAGATTTGCAACTGAGCTAGCTCAATACCATTTACCTGGATTTGAAGTAAGGATTATATAAATTCTATTTTCACCATCAGTAATAAAGCACAAACCCGATACCATTAACATGACTGATAATAAAGAGATGTGATTAGTCTCAACTTGGATAGGCAATAAAAAAAAAAAAAAAATAAGGACAGGAAATGTTGTTTAGCTGTTTATGAACAAAGAGGTTCTATTAACCTGGGTTTGCAGTGAAGAAAAGTGTCAATATTGCTAACACAGGTTTGGAATTAAGTTGGTGTCAATGTAGCTGGGAAAATGAATTCATAATTAGGACAACAACGTTAGTATTGACCTGAATTTTCAATAAAAATCATGTCTGTGTTTTAATTTGGAACTGTAAAATTCATCCCTGTGCTCTACAAATGACCATATAATTATTAACTTGCAGTTACTTTACAATTAGAGAATTATTTACATAATATGTTATTTTTTAAATAACCATGTGCCAGTTACAAATGGTGGGCTGAACGCAGGGTTCCCAGAAGCGTCCAACACTTAAAATTAAACTTTTATATTTCTTTGCAAAAGCATTCCTAAGGACTTGAATACTCCCAGAAAAAAATTACTGCTTCAGCAAGACTCTGTGTTCCTGCTCCAAATATTGAGGGTTTTTTATTAGAATTACTAGTTTTAGTTAATTACTAGTTAAATCTCTATTAATGACCTCACAAATAATTATCATACCCATTTATTGTAAATACTCTCAACACTTCTAGTGAATGTGATCAAGAGGGTACTTAAATGGACATAAATTGGTTGTTTAATCAGCCTTATGCATTTTAATGCAGAAAAACCAACAATGAGAAGAGTATTTATTTTAAAGTCACTTTAGAACCTGAGTGTGCACGTTTTTGCACTTATTTTCCTATGTAAATGTAAGTCCAATGTATCAAAACAACACTCAAGGGTAGGCCAAAAAAGGATTTTTCTTAGAAAAAAAACCCCAAAACGCTTTTATGTGCTCTTTCCAGGTTTCCTCACAATAGAAAAGGAGAACATGAGCCCAGCAGCATTCTCTGTCTCTACCTATTTTATAAGTTGCCTCACCTCCTTCTTCTTCTTCTTTTCCTCCTTCTTCTTTTTCCTCTGCACCATGAATCAAAGGTATCTCAACTTCTGTTGTGTCTTCTTGGTTCAACAATGGCTCTGAATAAATTCGATAAAAAGAAGATGAACTGTAAGGCTTTTCAGAACGGACATAAAAGGATTAACATACTAGAGAGATTACCATTAAAAACACAGGCAGAGGAAAAGGATCCTTTTCCCCAAGAGTACAGATACAAAAGCTGTCTCAGGGAAATCCAGGGGGCTGTATTTGAGAGCAAGGCCTTGATCCTCCAAGATGCTGAGCTTTCTGGGATTTAGCACAAAACCCCACGTGCCTAGCTCCAAGCATGGGCCTTCACCGGGACTCATCGCAAGCCCAGACACACACGTACTCAAGTGTTTTGCTGGACTGGGGACAGAGCATTCAGTGCTCTGAACGCATAAGGCTGAAGTGCTTGTCATCAGGAATAAGAAATGCAGTGTTCAGTTCTTTCTGTAACAGTTGCAGTCATTAAAAAGTCAGCTTTTATCACCAACAATCCATAGATAGTCCCCTGCTCAGAGTTGAATTTAGAGTTACCATAAGAAGATCCGGCTCCACAGATTTAGCTTAGTAGGTATGGAGAAAGAAAGGGAACTTAAACACTACTGTTAATATCCGAGCGATAATTAGTGGTTTTGCCTGTTAATCGTGCTCTTTGGTTTCAAGGCATGTGCAGTACCTTCTATTTCCATGCAGGAGCTTTGGGAATCTGCCCCAGTTTTCATCTCCTCCTCTGCAGAAACAGCCTGTTGTCCTGTTACCATGACAAATTGAAAATGACATCAGCACCATGGCTGCATGCAGGCAACGGCAAGTTCATCAAAACAGGACACGAACCGAACATATAGCACAGTCCTTTTCAGCCAAGTACTGCTTCTTTTCTATTAAATGAACAATGTTGGAATTATTTTATATATGAAAGTATCACTTAACAAACTCTAAGCATTACGTACATTAAATGGCTGGTCCAAACTGACCCTGATTCAACTTTTTTCTTTTTCTTCTTTTGTAGCTCAGCCTTGACACACTGAGTCTCATAGGAGCTGTTGCAAAGCACTCGCACTTGACAGTCGACTTAGCAGAAGGAACAGAATCACCCCACAGGCTTTTAAACAACAACAACAACAAAGGACAATAATAACAATGCGATGCACCCAGGATCAATACGGTTAAACCCACATATTTGGACACGTGTGCCTTTTCCAGCAACACCAGAGATTACTGAACCACAACTGGTTGGCACACAACCTCTACTAGCCGACAGTGTTTTCTTAAGGCAGCAGAGGTCAGGCTGAAAACCACTGGATGCTGAAACTGGAAGAACTAAGGTTCCCAACTGGTTCGTTATCTCTGTCTTAAAGAATTTTGATACAAAACTTTACCTTTGGCTGGATCTTGTTCACAACCCACAGGATGCGCTGGGTCACTCTCCTGTGCGCCTTTGGAGTCTTTCAGGGAGTCTGAGGAAACAGCAAACAAACAAACAAATCCTGCAGTGTTTTTCATGCTGGAAAAGTCTGGTAGTTACTTCAGACACAGGTAGCCCTTAGGTGCTAGCTTCATATCTGGCATTCTGATACGCTGACAGATTTTCTATCTGTTTAACTACAGACTTACATACTACAAAAGTATACACACGGGTTTCAATTATTCAAATTGATTTCAAAATCTGTACACTTACTGAGCAGTTTTTTGCCTGCAAGTACAAACCTGAAACAAGGAGCTGGCAAGAAAGGATGCGCAAGAATAAGCCGCAGCACTACTGAGAATTTTATTTCTAATGAACAGAGTGGCACAAAGCTACGAGAAACAGCACGAACTACCTACTTGATAAATAAAGTGATTTCTGATTTATTTAGAACAATGCCAGCACCTTTCATGGTTGGACTTCTACAAGGTTGACAAACATTAAGTCCTATAAATCCCAGTGCAAATCCTAACCTCATTTCTCTTGATGACAGAACTTCCAAGGTAATTATCATGGCTAAGACTGCTTTTCCTTTTGGGGGAGACCAGCAAAATGAACTGCCCAAAGCCATACCCTGAACCAGTGGCAGAGTGAGGTTTAAATTAGATGATATAAGTCCATTTGCTATGCTATCTGCAGTCTTCATAAACACAGGGCATTATTTTGTATTGTCAAATGACATTTTCTGACAACAGCCACTCCTTAGTTTTTGCATGGGGATGGAGAAATGCATCATTCCACCGCAGTCAGGAAATCACAGCAACACAGCCACGCATTTTAGCTCTGGTCACCCGCATAACACACAGCTTTCACTGGACAGAGAGCTCTCTTGGAGCCTTGTTAAAAACAACAGCTGATCTAACCAAACATTTCTGCAAACCACAGGGGTAAGTACACTTGAGGTCATAGCAGTGGTAACAGATAATCACTATTGGTGTTCCAGAGTGAAACACTTTCTAAAATGCTGCTAGATGGAAAGCTTAAGTGACAGTGCCAAAAGATCTATGGTGCATGATAATAAATTACGCTATGACAGTCTTGTTACGGCTCTGCTTCTGGAAGGCCCCTTTCCACAATATAGCCGAGCAAATCTTACAATATACCAAAGGATGTCCCTGTAAAACCCTGTTCCTGAAACTTACCACGAATAATCTCTGATGGATAAGTGAGAAAGCTGGGTTGTTAACATCTGATCCAAACTTAATAATCTGTAGAAAAGGTATGCACTGAAAGTGTGTGGCTTTAATTAACTGCAAATAATCCCCCAAGGCAAATATTTAATTACCTGCACAGCTTCTTACTTCTTTCATGGCATGACAATAAGTTTATAAATCCAAGTTTGAAAGCAGAATATCTCACTGATGTACAATTTGCTAAAATTTGCCCTTGCTGCGCTTTTTTTCACCCTACTGTGGACTTAAAACGCTACTCGCTGCTATCACTGCTATCAGCTGGGCCACTGCGCTGGCCTTTCACGCTAGGATGCCACACTGTGCTATGAGTTACAAGGGGTTATCCTATCAGCCTGAATCAGAGCAAAAATAAATAAGAATTTCATCAAATTCCAAGTTTAATCAAAAAATGAGTTGAAGGACCTCTTGGTATAAGTGGGAATGGAACTAAAAATCTGTAGGGAATTTTTCAAGCAAACTTTAAACCCATTGAGTGAAATTCTGGCTTTGCTGAAGTTTTTGACAAAGCTTTCAGGATATCAAACAAGCCAAGATTTGTATCACCTGTAGCCCCATACCCTAAATTAATATAATCTTTTTCTGTATGATTTAGTTGCATGTTTGTAAAAGGAACTGTACTGACAAAGCTGGAATCAGAAGTCCTCTGCCTTAAGTACCGTGCAGCCAGGGCGTAAACACAGCCCTTCAAACAGCCAAAAGTGATGATAAAGTGTTATATTACCTGCTACGGGTGGGAGATGCACACGGCTCTGTCCCATCAGACCCTTAGAGCTATCTTATCCAACACCTATTGCACATCACTTGATACTCCCAGACCTGTGCCTTTAATCTCAGTTCACGGGTGCCACCTTTTCTCCTAGAATGAGGAATGACTCCAATTTCATGCAAAAATCAATCCCCAGCATCAGAGGAACAATTACACACTTTGGTCAATAACAACAAATGGACTTTAAGGAGCCCCGTGCTCGGCTGATGTATGTGCCCCATCAGGCTGCTGCTTGTCGCGGAGCACCGCATAGCTTATGGCAAACTACGGTTATTGCACAGGGTGGGGAGCTGTCGCTACTCCCACCCTTTGGCACAGCTGGCAGTTTGACCCCGCAGCTGTGCCGAGTGCCAGCGTTAGGCACCGCAGCTGGAGACCACCTACGCTATGTGGCATATCTTCACACATAGCTGGCTCTGCACCGTTTATTCTTACGGGATTGTAATTTTCTGGTAAACTTTCATTTGGGTCATGAACAGTTTTCTAATTGTTCCAGGGTTCAAGAAAGCAATTTTAAAATTCCACAGGATTCCAAATTATCCCAGGCAATATGCAATGACAATTTTGCACAAGTTATTTTTTGTAAAGTGTGTTTCTGAAAAGAGCAGAACATGGAGAGGAGTTACTGCCTAGCTGTAAGAGTCTGTGGCTCTTATTTCAGCAGAAGAAATCAGTTTTTGCATTAGTATGTAGATTCTGAGTTTCAAAATCTTTAAGGTCAAGACCATACCAAAGATTTCTTTTTTTCAAATGCAAATATTAGATCAAATATTCAAGCCAATAGGTCCAAAGGCAGATTTACTTTTAGGATTAACAAGAATAAAATAAAGCAAAGGAATAAACCCAGGTTTATGAAGAAAATCTGAGCCAAGCAAGAGTAAAAATGTAAGACCAAATGCACCACTCAATAAAAGCTGTTCCAAAATTGGATATGAGGCAAGAGTGCCACCTCCATTTCAGTTGGCAAGCAGTGGTGGGAATCCCACAAATGCTCATGATATACTACTTTCTGCGTGCAATTTTTCAGTAGGGTAGTGGTATCCCTTGGGCTCAGCTGGTCCTCTGTGCTTTCTTAGCCCTTTGGAGTCTTATGCAACGGGGCATAAGCCAGTATCATAGTCCTAAACAATTCCATGGTCTACGAAAGCTCTGGCCCTCCCTAAAGCCTTTGTTCATCTCTAATTGGCTAGGGAACTAACTCTGATTTTTAAAATGGCATAAAGCAGTGTTAGTCTTCTCCTAACACTGCTACTTATCTGTTAAGTCGTACCAGACAATCCAAGTCAGGATATTATTTCGCAGCACAGTACACTTAGTTTTTTGATAACACACGCTGGGCACTATTTACCTTGGGTAACTGCAAATTGGGACTGTAGGGGTTAACATTCCTCCAGGCAGGACTGAAAATAGTCAGTGTTTCTGATACTACACTGGAGCACAGTTCTTAATGTCATCATTGATCACACATGAATGAACCAAACGTGACATTTAATGACATAAATGAACCAAAGATAGGCCACTTTTATCTACTACACATCAAGCCTTGAAGCGCTCATTGAAGTCGGAGCATCCCTTAGTTCCTTCAAACCTGCTTTTACTTGGTTGCTGCAGTGACAGTGTCCACATCAGGAGCGTTTGGCTCTGCACCCCTCCACTGTATTGAAACAGCTGTCTCATGGGGCTGCACGGCTGAATGCACCTGGGAATTAGCCCCAGCCTTTCACAACCCGTGAAGAAAATATTTGGTCTTTAAGGAAGCTGATCAGAATACTCCCCAAGTATTCCTGTTCCAATATATCAACTGAGTGTTGAATTCAGCTCCAAGAAAATGGTCTAGCTTGCAATAAACCTCCAATCCTACCCTTCCTGCCAATAATCAGACACTATTTTGTCTAAATACTGCATAAAACCCCGTGCTTTTCCACGTCTTTTTTTTTTTTCTTTGACTGTATAAAGCAATGCCGCTGAAACAGGATTTTGCAAATGCTAAGGAAGAGGAGAAATAGTAAGATCTGAATGTTAAGTGGTTTTAATGATCTTTTAAAATTCACTTCCCCAGCTACTCTCTGTATGGCTTATTTACTGAGTCGTTTCTAATGTGCAACACACCTGGGTCCTGCATACAGCATAGATAAATCACCATGTTTTAGGGAGCTGTGAGAAGATTAAAGAGGGAAAAAGCTGGTCATTATGAAAGAAACAGGTTCAGTGCATTTTATTTTTTAAGCATGATACTGTGAAAAATGACTGGAATATTTCCAGAGTGAAAGAAATCAAGCGGGCGTCTAAAATTACAGGTAATGGTGTGCATGGAGGCTGCCACATGATTAGGGTATTCTTTTGCCTCATAAACTGGGGAAAATGTGTTAAAATGAAGTACTATAAAATGGTGATTTATAAGAAGTTAGGGAGATATTCTTGAGCTTTGACTTTAAAATGTTATTTTTATATCCACCAAGATTTCATTTTAATCTATCTTTATGACAGATTAGATTTATTGGAGCCCAAGTTTATACGGCTTGGTAAAACAGACCTTTTTAGGTGCAACAACCTGTAGAGGTATTTTTGCAAGTGTCTGGGTAATAGACCAGGCAGTTCATCTCCACAGGTGGGGTCCACTGAGTAATGCTCCCACCCGCTCGTGCTTCGAGCTGACAGAAGGGCATCTCCTCTAACCTCACCTTCTGTCCACAAAAGAAGTTTCAGGCACAGCTGGTACGATAACTGTGGGCATCCTGCTGCTGCTGCTGTCAGGGGCAGGGCCTGCTGTACAGGGCACTGGGAAAGGAAAAAGCTGAGAAAATCCTGGCCGCCTCAGTTAGACCCTTCCCAGGAGAAGATCATAGAATCATAGAATCGTTTAGGTTGGAAAAGACCTTTAAGATCATCCAGTCCAACCATTAACCTAACATTACCAAGTCCACTCTAAACCAATCAAGGGCAGACTAGACTAAACCAGGTCCCGAAGTGCCACATCTACCTGTTTTTTGAACGCTTCCAGGGATGGTGACTCCACCACCTCTCTGGGCAGCCTGTTCCAATGCTTGACTACCCTTTCCGTGAAGAAATTTTTCCTAAGATGCTGCACAGCTGAAGGTAAGGGTTGAGGGGGGCAGAAATGGAAGGAGTAGGTCCTTGCATCGGACTGACAGGAGCGCAGCTGGATGGCTCCAGGTCAACTAGTATTTAAAAATAAGCAGGATCTAAATAAACCAGCTAAGTAGATTAGTGTCAGCTGTTGCAGCTGCCTGTACTGGCGAAGGGTAGAGCAGAAATACCTCTTGAGTAGTTTATGGTCTGGACCCTGTCTGGATGCACTATACTACAGATAGGTCAGATTAAAAGGAAAAGTGAATAACCCGCATTATGCACAGCTTGAAGTAACCCTTATGGAGGATATTAGGAGAATACACACTTGGTTGGATGGTGATGGTTATGTACCTGGTTTAAAAAAACCCCAAACCACACCATTTAGCTTGTGTTAGCCAATATGCTTTCATAGAAATCGTTCTAACCAAGGGAGAGAAAAATGTTATCACTCTAGCTGGCATGCAGAGCCACAGCTATGGTTGGGGTTGTTGAAATTCTTCCTTTAAAAAGGTTCTTTTTCAGTTACCTATAATTGAAATTTTTCAGGCTGAAATTTTCCAGGTCTAATCATAGCCCAAGGGTGAAGTAAAAACATTTCATTGGTAGCTGCTGAGCACTCAGCACTTCTGAAAATCAGGTCATTCATTTAGATGTCTTAATATATACTTAAGAGCTGATTTTAAACACCTCTTTTTGAACATATTAGCGTTTCAGTCAATCTTTTTCACCCACTTATCAATGTCTAATTTAGGTCGATTTGCACAGCTCCCCTGCATTTGAAATGCTCTAGCTTTCAGTTTATCCTTTCTCAATCATTTATGTCTTTAGGACATCAAGATTCTTCCATGGTGAGAACTACAGCTGGCCAAACAGGAATTTTATATCCATTATGTTTTACAGGCAGGATACTTACAGGCTTCTGGGTTGCACAAAGTGAGTTTTTAGGGCTAACCCCTAGCCAAGGCATATACCTAATTCTGTTTCTGACAACATAAGCCCTCTAGCTGACTGAATCTGACTCCATTTCAGAGAATGTAGAAAAATAGTCACTCCCTTTATAAATGGCACTCCCACAAGAGCACAGACTTTGGTGAACACCTGGAAATAATTAATCGCTACTTTATTTTTTAAATTAATTAGCATATGATTTAATTTAGTTGACCTTCAAATGAAAATTCAGTTCTTATTAAGTGCTAATGAATTAAAATCAGTGTATTGTGCACAGAAACTTTGTCATGATTGCATAATGGGGAGTTCATTCTTCACCTGTACTAAATCCAGTTCCTTTTTTCATTTTTCTACCAGAAAGCCCTATCATTAAATCAGGTTAAATAGTAATTGGTAGGACAGGTAACTGAGACGAAGATGCAGAACACTCTCTCACACTCACAAATATATGTGCACACACACATACATCACGGGTTCAAACCAAGCCACAGCTATATACAATATGGTCCACTTATGATTTAAAATGAGTTTGTAGTCCCAGCACAATCTCATATGGACAGGCATACTAGACTGAGTGCAGCCTGTCTGATACGTGTTTTATCTGCTGCATAAACATTAATGACTTTAATCACTTTGTTCTGCCCTTACACTTCATAAAGGGAAGCACCTCTAACTTGAAATACGCTGTGTATAAAGGATCTACTTCCATATGCACAGTAATGAAGTGCTACGAAGGTGCTGCCTGGAGATGTCAGCTCTCCCCCCAAGAGCTAATAGTTAGGCATGCAAGTTTTCAAGGGTAAAACTGCAACATTTCTTTCCGGTATTTCCAGACAGTGGAAATAGAAACTTGGCACACACTGGAATAAGAGGATACCTCCACAGCATAACATCAAACATCTTGATATTCTTGGAATATGACTGTTCTGCCTTTTTTTTTTTTTTTTTTTCTTGAGGACAGACAGAGCACTCAAAAAATTCAGTCTGCTCAAAGGCCACATGCAAACTGGGCCCATGCGGACTTTTTTTTCTGGACAGTGTCTCTTCTATGGTGAATAACAGGAGACATATACTTTCACATTAATATGAAATTTGTAATCTCACAGTTGGTTTTCATTTTAATCAGAGCCCCTCAAAACATGACTCCTGCACTGTTCCATGCACTTGTCATGAAACATCCCCTTTCATGTTCCCATCCTTCCCCTTTCCTTTAAAAAAAAATGATAAAGACAACTCAAGTAAGACAAAAATGCTAGAACTTCATGGTAGGAGAGATGCATGTGCTCTGTTTTGAATATCACCACATTTGAGAGCAATAAATAACTATTTCAATGTGTTTGCTATATTCTAATCCCAGAAATATGAGAAAAAATAAGCAGAAAACCTACTAGTCAACTCTAATTGGAGTCAAAATACTTGTTTCGGTGCACTCACCAGAACTGACATTTGAAAGACTGCTATACTTCCATAGTAGGCTTGGAAACCTCCTATTCTGAGTGGTTTAAACTATGCATTTTGGGAATATGCAGCCTAGACTTATTTGCCACAAATCTTCTTTCACAGTAATTAGGTGGAATGACTGGAAAAACATAATTTCTTTAAATGCTTTACATCCAGTTCATTTAGTTGAAGATAAACTACAGAAATGAGTATGTTCCAGAACCTGGCAGGTTTTAGCTGTGTTAACTCAGTGGGCAAACAATTTGAAGGCTGAAATTTATTTTGGGAGCAGCAGGTGTTTTCAGAAATGCCAGGATTTTGTAAAAGTGCCATTTCCCAAGCGGTAGCAAGTTTTTTTGTAACTAGTATTCATTTTAAAACACCCCAGAAATCTAAAATCTGAAAAGTTGAAAATCTACGAATGGAAATAAGGATTAAAACCATGGCCTGGTGGACACAACGGCTTCATTGTTCAAAATTCTTGGTTACATTTAAAAAACTAGCAAGCAAATCCCAAAACATGTTCTTTTGCCCCACCATTCCTTTTTTCTACTTGTACGACTTTACAAACAAAATACATGGAGGAGAGTCTGTCTTGCTCCTTTTTCCC